ATTTTCTGGATTATTAAATTTAAATGTTGTTTCAATAAAAGAATTAACATAAATATTATTTAAATATTTAAATAACTAAATATCTTAAATAACAAAATATTAAAATAGATAAATAATTAGATAACAAAATATTAAATATTATGAAATAGCTTTAAAATAAATAAAGTTCAAATAACTAAAAAATTTAAATAGTTTACATATAATTTAAATATTTAATTAACTAAATATTTTAAATAACAAAATATTTAACATAACTAGATTTTAAATAGTTAAAATAACGAAATTATGTAATTTAACATAATATTGAAATTAATAATAATTTAATATTTTACAAAATTAATAACGAAATTATGTAATAATAGTATCAAATTATAATTTTATGGATTATTAAATTCAATAAATAATTAATATTTAAAATTTTAAATAATGATATTATTTAAATAACTAAATAATATTGTAAATAGCTAATTTCACTTATATAAATTAATAATTCGAGGAAATAACTTTCAAAAACTTAATATTTCTTAATAATAATTTTAAACTCTTAATCTATATTTATTATATTATTATATATACTAAAATTAATATTTATTGTATTTCAGTAATTATTTATTGTTTTTGTGATAACTATAATTTCAGTAATTATGTATAAATTTAGTTTTTTTTTGTTAATTAACAAAAAAATTTCAATAATTATTGGAGATTAAACTACTGTTATTGAGCTTCTAATATTTAATCTACTTTACTTATTGTATTTGTTGTATTTTTGTTATAAGTTATTGATTAATATTTATTAGAGATTAAACTATTATTTGGGATTATACTATTTATTGACTAATTTAATATATTTTTTATTATTTATTGTTTTTTGTAACTTTTGTATTTACTATATTTTTATTAGTTATTTATTGTATTTTCATTATCAATATATTTTTAATAATTGTTTATTTTTGCTATAAATTTTCAATAATTATTGGAAATTAAACTATTGTTATTTATTAGAGATTAGACTATTAATTTAGTTGAAATTAAGAGTGTTCACGTGTTGTTTCGTTTCAGTTGTAGGTCTTTTGGCCAACCAAATCAATCTGGTCAAGTTAGGGAGTTGGTCACTCGAAACAGACTAATCATTTGTGAAAGCTGGCCCACTCGGGTTGTATTAGTTTGGGTCAAATTTTGGTTTGATTAGTTGGTTCAAAAGATTTAAACTTTAAAAGTTAAATATAAATTTAAAAAATACAATGGATTTATTGAAAAATAAATTTATGATATAAAATATTTTAGACTAAGAAATATGAGAATTTTCCCAATTTCTTGTAGTAAAAAATTATATTTAAAATATAATATATATATATGTATGGTTAGGTCATTCGATTTTGGTCGGTTTAAAAATGGCCAAAGTGAAACTGTTCCAACCTAATCGGGTTGAGAAATTATTGAACCAAAGTCAATCGAAAATACTAGAAAACCAACCAAATCAATTCAAGTCAATCAAGTTGGTCGAGTTCATCAATTTGATAAACAACCCTAACTGAAATTAATTATTATTATTTTTATATTATAAAAATTTATTAAAAGTATTATATAAAATATAAATAATAAATAATTATTTAAAAATAAAAAATATAAAACAATTGTATACTCTTATATGTTTCTATCATTTAGTTTTCACTTAACAAATCTCATGCATCGCAAAGATCCCCTTTAATTAGAAATTTAAAATTTAAAATATGGGATCCCAATTGGGCCTTGAATTTTTCGGTACATTGACAGGCCTAATTATAGAGGCACCCTCTCCACATATGAATATAAAAATATATTATAAACAGTCGCTACCCCCTGGTATGTGTGGCTTTCCTAATCAAAAGATAGGAGAGCACCCCTTCTCCCAAAGTTAACTTTCAACCTTGTTGACTAAATATAAAATTTTGGGCCTAGGTTCGAATCAATAATTTGCAGTTGGGCCAAATTGCCCTTGCAAGTAGGGCTAGAAATGATCACCACTAGATACTTACGTTTTGGAGTCTTTACTTTTAAGCATTTACTTGCATTTGGGGAAAAAGTTGAATAAGTGTTTATTCCAGAAAATGAACCCGTTTTAAAGAAATTTTTTTTGACGTATTTTAAAGTGTTTTTGCAATAAATGCTTATTGCATTTGTGGTCCACCTCGGCTCACCATTTAATTTTCAAAATATCTATACTACCCCGATTTGAAAGAAGCGATTTTTCACCACACACTCATAATCACTTATTTGTCCAGTAACACCCCCAAATGAGGGCTAGATATTGAAAATAACAATATTTAAGTTGAATTTCTATTTTAATATTAATCTATTTTCATAATGAAAAATGATACATTAATTAATTTATTATACTTAAGTAGAATAAAGTTTTGGATTAGTGGTGTCAATAGACCGGTTTTGGGTTGGATCGTGTCTAAATCAAAATTAATTTGGATAGATTGGATTAGGGCTGTTTACGGGTCGGGTTGGGTCGGTTTACTGGCATTTTTCCAACCGACCCGACTCAGTGGGTTTACCTAGAAATGAAACCGAAATTGATACAGTACTAAGTAAAACCGACTTAGCCGGTTTGAATCGGTTTTGTGAATGATTCTCTTGGTGTGAACGGTAAAGGATTCAAGTCTAAGAAAGTAAAGGCTGGATGCCTGGAAATTAAAATTGATTTGATGGATTAAAACTAATATTATATACATATTATACATATTATAATATGTATATAATATAATATATCTAAGTCGGTTTGGGTCGCTTCAGTTTTGGTTTTCACACATGAAAATCAAAACTGAATCGAACAATCGGTTTATGTTTTTTTGTAACCCGAAACCGACCGGTGCTGAAGAAAAACCGGCCAATTCAGGTTAAATCGGACTAGGTTGGTTGATTTGGTCGATTTGGGTCTTGTTATGAACAGCCCTAGATTGGATGAAGCAACAAGACATTGAATTGGACGTCTAAGATATTTATTGGATTGGATTGGATTGGACCTGGTCCATCCTTAATGAATTTAAATTGAATTGGGTTGTTCAGGCCTGAGTTTTTCCAAGGAAAGCTCATAGCCCAAAAACTCGGGCTAACATGGACAGAAACTCAGATTGGGTCGGATTGGTTTTGGGTTGGGCCAACCCAAGTTGCACCTCTACTCTCTCTACTTCACTTTTCTCTTAGCAAAGCCAATGCAGCATTATATAAAGCCCAACCACGTGTACATGCGTGCATAATTTTTATTCACTTTACATTAAGTTAACAGGACATTACATTTTTATTGAATTTGTGTTCATAATTTTTATGCAAATAGTTTAAATTTGTGTTAACACTGATATTCCTCTCTCATAAAAAAAAGAAAAGAAAAGAACCTAGTTTCAACTAGAGCAGAGGCCGAAAGAGAGAACAAAAAGAAAAAGAAACACAAAGGAAACACCTAAACAACAAAACTACGAAGATCAAAAACAAGAGTTATTTGTAGTGTGTACAGCTACTTTGTATCATCAGATCCAAGCCTTATTGCCCACTCCCTGAATGTCTCCAAATCACTTTTGATGTTTGTGTAAATGTGGTGGTGAGGTTACGTACAGGGATCATCTTAAAGGACAAAGGAATACTAAATGCAGGAGGTAGGTTAGAGGTTAGGGCAAATGTGAATGATAAGATAATCCCTTCATTACGAGATGGATCTCTATTTATAGGGAGGGATCGCAAGGTCCTAAAAGGAAGGAGTCACAAGTATTTGATTTTCACTAGAAAAAGGAATATTGGATTCATTGTCAGTTGTTTGAGAACACTGCTAGGGTTTCGCCACATGTCTTATGAGATATCTTTAGGATGAACTTTTCTTTCATTCGAGAGTTTTCATAATCAGTGTGTACTACTTCCTTTCGTAACCCATTTAACTGACGTGGCATGAGTGACATCATCATTTAGTGGGCACGCCTTTACTAGGTCCATGGGGTGTCCTGTCATGCGTATAATTTAAAGACCCACATATAACGAATATTTATTCTTAGTGTATAGTGATTCTACATTTGTTAGGTTATGTAATGGCTTTGAACTCATCGCAGCCCCACACGTGTCTAAAACTCATCGCAAATTTGTGTGTATCTAAAGTTCATTATAGATTTGTGCGTGTCTAAAGCTCATCGCAGGTTTACACTAGCCAAAGCTCATCACGTCTAAATCTCATCGCAAACGTCTATATAATATTAATTTGGTATCCTCTATACCCTGATGGTCTGAGCAATCACTATATACCTACAGTTTATTTTTTCTGGCCAGTTAATTATGCTTTTGTTCTACCACCAAAGAATGCGAAGGCAAATGTAATGACTTCCTATTCTTTTACAAGAGAATCAATGCAATAGTTTCCATATATACTTAGAAAAATAACCACAAGCTTTTCTCTCGATTCAATAATTGAGGCATCTTACCTCTCTTCATAAGAATACGGGAATCCCATGCTTTTTTACTCAATGGTGGATGTCCACACACATCCCATGATAACAGTAGTAGTGAAGTAGTGGAAATGCTAACCACCTCTTGCTTTCAAAGTGCAATTAAGTGTTTAAAAGACACCAAGAATATTGATTCAAATATAAACAGCAAGAAATAAATGCTATCAAACAGTTAAAAATATCTCTCTCTATCTATCTATATATAGATTTGCCTTAGTAGTGTGCCATTTCATGGGTCTCCCTGCTGTTAATTTGTAGTGGAAGGAAGATAGAATTCAACAGTTAATTCATTTATTGGTTAGTTACTAGAATTTGAGAGCATTCTCTCTAATCTCTATAGCTATTCATTCATTTTATGCATGGCTTCATTGGTGGGAGAAATAATGGAAGAAGAGCAAAAGAGCAGCAGCAGAAGAATTACACAGATGTTTGGCAGTGATGGAGAAATTGCAACCTCTCTTTCTGAGCATATTTGGTTGTTTTTTCTTCTCAGGGTTTAACATAGTTTCTAGGGTCTCCCTAGCAAAAGGCATGAATCTGTATGTGCTGGTGGTTTACGGTCATGCAATTGGAATGCTAACCACAGCCCTTCTTGCACTCCTCTTTGAAAGGTTTGTGATGGATGGATTCTCCCTTTTTTCTTTCTCTGGTATTCTTAAATTGATCTAGCTCAAAAGTTAACACTCTGTTTGGATAAGCTTTTGCTTTCCAGCTTTGAGATGTGGAAAATAAAAGGTGTTTTGGGCGTCTGGTAAGAGTTGATTCGTAAAAGAAAAAAAAAAAAAACATATAATCAGAAGCCAAAACACTTGTTTTGTGCTTTGGGGCTTGAAAACACAACCCTGAAGCTTATCTTGGTGGTTTAGCAATTCCTATGGCTGTATACAAATTTGCTTTGGTTCTTTTGGACCATATATTCACCCTATAGACATTTTCTCTGTCATTTGTTGCAGGACAAATCGACCCAAAATTACTTTACCAGTGTTGAGCAACATATTCTTCTTGGGGATTACCGGGTAAGAAGACAAACACAGGATCTAATATTTAAATCTCAGGTTTTATTACTTCTGCCTTTGCTTTTGCTAGAAAGGTAAAACCTTGAGACCTGACGTGGATGCAACCCTTATGGCTGAAATGGATGGACCTCGGTCTAGTTTAGTCCATCCATGGATGGACCATGGATGGGGTTCATGGATGGTCCAACCTGTTTTATTTGTTTTCTGCTTTAGGCTGGGGTTCAATTTAATGACCAATATCGGGCGCAAATCAGGGCCTAGATTATAGTCTTTATCATAAGTGCAAACTGTGTAAATATAAACTGGGTCCGGCCATGATCATGTGATTTACCCTTAGGACTCAGTTTGGATGGAATACAAATACAAATAACATACAAAATAATACAAAATACAAGGTTTTGCACTCTACATAGTATATGTTCAGCCTGGCATTACCCAATCTTTATGGGCCTAACCTTTTAACTCTTTTTATTATTTATTTATTTGGTGGAAGGAATGTGGAATCTGGACTTCCTTTCAACAGAAAAAGCATTTCAATACGTTCCAACATGATCTGTGTCCTTACATCTCATACATAGTGGGTCCCAGTCTTACGTAGAGATGCATGAACACAAATCATGTAGGACCTTTATTACCAAGCAATGACCCATATGGTGAGATGAAAACATTTTTAGAAATTAAGGGGTTGTTCTCCAATGTGCATGGTTTTTGAAAGTCGAACCAAATCGGATCAGATTGTCAGACTGGTTGACCCAGAAATTGGTCATTGCTCCGGGTCGAGTTTTAGACACTCAATCCGTCCAATCAGGCTTTGGACAGTTTGACCCAAAAACCAATGGCCAAAACAGTACTATTTCTGGTTCGATTTTTAAAACCATGTCAATTTCAATTGTTTTTTCTTGGTGACAGTTGTAAAAACAAAACAAAACCAGTTGGTTTGAAAACAAATTGATCCCAATAATTAGTTTATGAAACCATGTTTTTTGTTGTATGTGTGTTCTTTTTCCCCAAAACTGAAACAAAAAACATGCATTTGAATATATGGTTTAAAAAATATGCATTTGAATACTTTCTACTTTGATGATAACAAGAACTTTTTTTTTAAACAAAGTCAACTTGTTTAGCCTTTCAAAACAAAATAATGGTTCGAGTAAAAAAAAAAAACATGATTTTAGTTTCAGAAACATGTTTTTGAGTACATATTTATGTGATTAATTGGCCAGTGTCTCAGTGTCTGATCTTCAACATTCTGTGTTTCAGACCTCTATTGGGAAGGACATTGTTCTATGCAGGCCTAGAAAAAACTTCCTCTTCGTTTGCATCTTCCATGAGCAACCTAATTCCATCAATTACCCTTGTTTTGGCAGTTCTATTTAGGTAAGAATGTCACAACCTACTTAATGGCTTATTTACTGAAAGGAAAAACAACAAGTTATTCAGTTGAGCCACTTCAGCTGTTATTAAACAACCCCTTAACCAACAATTAAACATGAAGAACCTTCCCCAGACAGTGACACATATAGAAATCACCCGTGCATATATGTTTAATGGGAAAATCTATGATGCGGGAAAGATATGGTATCGGAAGAGTTTTGACCAATTAAAATCCATTTATGAATTTTGATAAATAACACCTAATTGGCTACCATGTTTATGATTCTAATTGACTGATCATATATTTTTCAGATATCATATGTTTTCCATATCATAGTCGAACCCTTGTTTAATTCATGGGGAGATGTTACTGATGTTCGGATTCATACTTTCAAAGTGTATGCAGAGTTATTGCTAATAGGAATTTTGGGCTCCTGAGAACATCTCCCATGAATGGCAACATAACAAATATGGGAGAAATTATGCCTAATGTGCGGCTGGTCAGCTTGTCAGCACTCTTTTGCTAGCAGCAAATGTGAACTCTTCTCAAGTTGCATAACTATGACCTAATTAAAGCATTTCTATATAGTGTTTAAAGAGCTTTTTTTTTTTACTGTACTATGTCTCTTTATGTTTTGTTTTATATATTAAAATCTCATCAAAAAGTTGGAAAAAAAATAAGAAATTAATGTGATGTTTTTTGTGATTGTTGGGATCATTAAGGAGTTAAATACTGCTCTCATAAGCTTCTGAAATTACTCATTTTGGATTCTATGGATTCAGGATGGAGAAATTAAATATCACTAGATTTAGCAGCCAAGCAAAGATAGGTGGAACTTTGGTGGCCTTTGCGGGTGCTGCCTTTATGACCTTGTACAAGGGCATTGTTGTAATTTCATTCTCTTCACCACACTCTGCCCATTCTAGCAAACTAAGGGAATCATCAGAGAAGGATTGGATGAAGGGCTCCCTTCTACTTATTGTTTCATATGTTTCACAAGCAGCTTTCTACATCTTGCAGGTGATTGATGAATGGTAAATTGTTCCTAAGGTTTAGTTTGGAAGGAGTACAAATACAAATATGTATAGTAAAAATATAGATAAAATAATACAAAATATAAGGTTTTATATTTTACATATTTGCATTTATCAAAAGTTTCTGTGCAAAGACAAGTAAACAATACAGAGAAAGGTTTGCTCATTGTCTTATGAAGGAAAGCTTCTAATAGGATGATTATTCTTCCTAACTTTTTCACCTGCTGGAATAATAATTTAGTCATTTTGAACAAAATACCCTCATTTTGTTGTAGTTACACTGGAGTTGTACCAACCATCCAAACTCCGAAGTTTTGTGAAATTTTGATTTAAAATTTGCCTAAAAAGAATGAATTATTCTAGCCATTTGGCAAGGTATTTTACCTTAAAACTTTCTTTAAGAGTAGAGAATGGAAAGAAGAACACGTCCAGGGATGGATCTAGCTAGATTGGTCCCTACCTCTACCAATCCATCCAATTTATACCCCTATTTTTCTTTCTTTTTTTTTTTGTTTTTTTTTTTTTGTTTTGTTCATGGCCTCATGGGGCTACACAAACCCGGGGGGGAGGGGGGGGGGGGGCAATGTGATTTGATCTTGAGTCTCCACTACAACCAACCAGAGACCCCACCAACTAAGCCATTATTAGTTGCTCTCCTATTCTGTTAGAGAGAGTATAGTGATTTATATTAATTTAGAGATTTAAGATGTGATTTATATTAATTTAGAGATTTAAGATGATGGGGAAGAGATTTAATGGGAGAGGAGGATTACAAACATTGACTATTGGAGAGAGAGATAATTAAGAAGGATTTTATTAGAGATTATTAAGACTTGAGTTGGTTATGTGATTTTTATATTTTTAATTTAAAAATAAATAGACCATATGCATGAAAAAGGAGAGGAGGAGGTGTGTGGAAGACTGGAAGCATCAAAGTGATAAGACTCTTGGCCTCCCTCTTTTCTCTGTATAATATAAATATAGATTATTCATATTTGAGACACATTAATTGAAAAGGTTTTACAATTTATCTTTCCTATTATTGATTCTATAAATTCATCCAATAATATTGTTAAAACCTAACCCTTCAATTAAAAGACAAAAATCCATCTAAAATACTAATAGTAAAATTTTTGGGATATTTGTTTATCAAACAGTCGGTTACAGCTTGAGAACTAGTGGATACCATTATGCCAAACATGAAGTAAAATAATGAGTGAATTTTGTTAAAGACTAACACTTAAGATATTCTTTTATGAGCAAATTCTTATATTAGACAGCCTTTTATCTCTTCTTTTGTGAATTTGTTTACAGGCTCCAACTATTAAGAAATATCCAGCTCCACTCTCACTCACCTCATTAACATGCTTAGTTGGCACACTGCAAGCAGCAATTGTAACAGTAATTGTAGATCACAAGGCTTCCTCTTGGAGATTGAATTGGGACATTACATTACTTTCTCCTATTTATTGTGTAAGATTTATTTTCTAGTTTTTCTTATGCAATAGATGGAATTTAAGCATTTCTGAAATCTGAATTAAGACAATCATCTATAAGTATAATAGAAAAACAAGTAAGAAGAGTATGAATTATTACAATATATAATTAAAGCAATTTTAAGATTTTTAATTAAAAAGAAGAAAAGAAATAAATGAAGTGTAATTAATTAGACAACTACAAGTATATAATATTTCAAATATTATAACTATTATATTTTGTTAATTATATATTAATTCAATTTTGAATAGATGAAGGATGTTTGTACATATATAATTAATTTACCTTGATATAATAAATGTGAACAATTTTCTTTTCTTTCACATAAAGCACATATAGTGATTTGCAAGTATTATAAAAAGGAATAAGAAATATAAACGTTCCAAAATTTTCTTTAGAATTCTTATCATGTGGTTACTAAGAAATATTCAACTATATTTTTCTATAAAATTATGTAGTCTGATTAAGATTAACTATTTTACTAGAATAGTTTAGTTAAACACCTGTCAAAATGAGTGTACTTATAAGAAATATAATTATATCTACATATAGCATAAATTACTTAATCTCTATATATAAGTCTAATTAATTTGGCCTACTTAATTTTTAATCGGTTTAATAAGATTAAAGATTATAATACTTAACAAATTAATTTTATGCTATTTGATAGCAACAAGCATAAAATAAATAATACCAAGTTTACCATCTTGTTCCCATTGAAAAACTCCTAATTAAATCTACAAGAGGGTATCTTGAATATCCACAATAAAAATTAAGATTTTTTTGTAGGATAAATTAATTTAAATTTCATTAAACAGTGAAAAATCTGTATTTACTGTGCTTACAATAACAACTACTTATAAGAAACAAAAACCTAACCTAAAAAGTACCCACGAAGGTAATGAAAATAAAGTTTCTAAAACATAAGCCCTGTCACAAATTGATACCTTGTTAGTAGAAGAATCATAACCCACTTAGATTGTGTTTGATTCCCATGATTTTGGGGTCACATAATAACTAAATGAAAATTTCTTCCTTTTTTCTGTTTCGAAGATTAAGACTCAGTTTAGAAAGAATATAAATATAAATATGTACAGTGCAAATACATACAAAATAATACAAAATTTAAGGTTTTGTACTCTAAAAATTTGTATTTGTAATCCTTCCAAACCGTGCCTAAGTGAAAAAACAATTGATGGTGGTTCTATCGGTAGTGGTAGGATCTCTAACTTGTTGTAGAGGCCTGGGATATTAATTAAAAGAATAAAAATTCTATTTCTAAATCAAATACTATAATATGCTCACTGTCTTATACCAGTTACTTAGGTTATTATGCAACTGAAATTACATTTAATATGCTCATTATGTACATATATACATGTAGAACATATTAGATTGGTGATAATTGCATCCTTTGTAGGGTGTTATGATATTTGGAGTAACTATTTACATTCAAACAGTGGTAGTAAAGAAAAGAGGTCCAGTATTTTTGACTGCCTTTAGGCCATTGGGCACAGTAATTGTAGCCATAATGGCACTTCTGATTTTGAAAGAAGCTCTACACTTAGGGAGGTAAGTTGTTATTTGTTAATTCAAATTAATTAATTGAGTTTTCTAAAAAATTTTTATATCTTTTTTAAACACTACAATTTTTTTTTTTGCAGTATTCTTGGTGCTGTCATGATGTTTGCTGGCCTATATATGGTCTTATGGGGCAAAGAAAAGGAAAAGGGAGATAAACCAACTGCTAGAGATTTAGCTGATCAAGTTGAGCAATCAAAATCGTCCAACGTAGAAGAAATTAGTGAGAATATTGTAAATGTTTAAATAATTGATGGTAAATAAATAATTCTTTTGTTTTCTCTATAAGCTTTCAAATGCAATTTAGTGAGATTTAGATCTTATGATGAATTTAGAACCGGAGTTCCAAAACTATTGGAATCCTCATTAGCATTTTTTTTTTTAATTATAGGTTTCATTTTTCTTAATCAAGCTCCCTCAATGGATTGACACCCGCATTCTCTTCTTCTATCAATGGATTGGATATTGGTACAATTCGACCCAATCCCATGGATAAAGTCCAATAAATACTTTGGACCATTAAATCTGGAATGAAATGGTGCAATTCAATATGTGTTATTGGTCCATTCAATCCGTCTAAATTAATTTTGATTTGGAAGGATCCAACCCAAAACCCACCCATTGAGACCCCTTACATACAAAGAGTCAAGTAAATGAGGGGGGCCCATGCAAGGCTATTTTTTGGGCTTGGCTCAACTCAAACTTGACCCAATTATCCATGTACGTGGGCCATTTGCCCATAATCCTGGTTAGATGAAAACCGCCACTTCGTCTTCCCATTTCCCTCCACTTTGTCGAATTCATTCATCCTCGTCTTCTCTCTGTGCATGAATGGCGGGAGAACCTGGTGAAGCAAAAGAGAGGCATTTACAGTGATACAAAGAAAAACCCCATCACTCAGATGGAGATGGAACAGCTTTTAAACATGGGTTTCTCCCAAGAGCTGGCAGCTGAGGCTCTAGCGGCCACCGGAGGCAAATCCACCATCGAAGCCACCGAGTGGATCTTCAACCACAAATCTAGCTCTAACGTTAACCCTAGTCCCCCTCCCTTCCAACCCAAACTCGACCGCTTCTTCCAATCCAGAACCCCCTCCCCTCAAACCCGACCTGCCGGAAACAACCGCACCCAAGAAATTCCGACCATCAAAAGGGTTTCGCAAGAGGGTGAAGAATCTCTCCCCAAGCGTTCTAAGTTTGCGTTTGGCTCATCATCGGAGTCGTTAATCCGTTCATCTTCAGGGTACAAACCCCATGAGCCCTTGTCGGAGCGTATGCGCCCTCGAAGCATCGATGAAGTAATCGGCCAAGACCACCTTCTGGGAAAGCATTCTATCCTCCGGTCAGCCTTGGACTGCGATCGCTTGCCTTCAATCGTGTTATGGGGACCACCAGGAACCGGTAAGACCTCAATAGCTAGGGCTATTGCAAATTCATCTCCTGCATCGTATCGATTCGTTTCGCTATCGGCTGTGACAGCTGGGGTTAAGGATGTTAGAGATGCTGTGGAGGAAGCTAGAAAAATGAAGAAGAAAAATAAGAGGACGGTTTTGTTTATCGATGAAGTTCACAGGTTTAACAAGTCGCAACAGGATTCGTTTCTGCCGGTGATTGAAGATGGGAGCATTGTCTTCATAGGGGCAACGACGGAGAACCCATCGTTCCATTTGATCACGCCGTTGCTGTCGAGGTCTAGGGTTCTTACGCTTAATTCCTTGCAGCCTCACCATATTGTGAGCTTGCTTAAGCGGGCCGCTGATGATGCTGAGAAGGGTTTGGCCCGGAGCGTGGGGGTCAATGTCAAAGTGGATGGTGAAGCCATTGAGTTTCTGGCTTTGAATTGCGATGGGGATGCTCGGGTCGCTCTGAATGCTTTGGAGATCTCTGCAACAACAGCTGCCGCTCGAAGACCCAATTGCCAGACCACCAGTCAAGAACACACTTCAGGCTCTCAAGCTAAAATGTTTGAGGGACTGTCTTCTGATGCAACTACTGTGGCCGATAGCAATGGTGATACTGATAGTAGCTCTTCCGGAAATGCAGAAAATGGGGCGAGTTCAAATGTAGTCAATGTCACCCTTGATGATGTCAAGGAAGCACTGCAATGCAAACACCTGGCTTATGACCGGGCAGGGGATGAACACTATAACCTCATCAGCGCGCTCCATAAGTCAATGAGGGGAAGTGATGCTGATGCAGCAATCTACTGGCTAGCAAGAATGTTGCAAGGAGGAGAGCAGCCTCTATACATTGCTCGGCGCCTCATTAGGTTTGCAAGTGAGGATGTTGGACTTGCTGACCCATCTGCACTAAATCAAGCTGTTGCTTGTTACCAAGCTTGCCATTTTCTGGGCATGCCCGAGTGCAATGTGAACCTTGCACAATGTGTAGCATACTTGGCTTTGGCTCCCAAGTCTATTGCTGTTTACAGAGCAATAGAAGAAGCACAGAAGTTGGTGAAGGAATCAGGTGGACAAAATGAAGGGGTGCCTCTGCATCTGAGAAATGCACCAACAAAGCTGATGAAAGAACTTGGATATGGAAAGGGCTACATTTATCCTCCGAATGACCCTTCTTCTTCAGCATCTCAGAGATATTTGCCACCTTCACTTCAAGGTTACAAGTTTCTCGATTGGCCAGCTAACTACTTTGAAAGATGAGAAGCTCAAAGGTGGTAAATTAAACTGATTATGCATTTTTTTTTTGGATTTTAGTGTGAAAAGAACCCTTTTGTCCATATTTTGGCATTTTGTATAGAACGAATAGTTAAAGCTACAAACTAGGGACTGTTGCGTGATCCATGTCGTATTAATTCATAGATGAACAAGAATCTATTCTTGGTACTATTTGACTGGCACCTCATGGAGCTGTTTCTGGCAACTTAACCCTAAAGTTTCTTTCATTATGTATAGATTATATGTTTCAGAATAGAATTTAAATACAGTTTATAATCTAGATAACCCCTGCAGATACCATTGCTCAGTGCATTGGTAAAATCTCAGGCTGACAAGCATGCAACATGGGTTCAATCTGTGAGTGGCCACTTTGTGCAAAAAAATACCAAAAATTAGGTCTATATCTATTCCACTCTCCTAACATTCCAAATAGCTGGAGCCTGGGACCAACAGTGGTAATGGCCTTTCTTGATCTTGTTAATTTGGAACCTTTTTTCTTGATCTTGTTAATAGAATTTCGAACTTTTTTAATTGTAAGGCCTATGATGTTTTACATCTTGAAGTGCATACTTGTCACCTCTTTCTTGCCTGATGTGTTCTAAGTATCCTTTTCTTTATTAATTGAACATTGCAATTGAATAGGCTAAGAAAATAGAAATAGTAAGCTGCCCATAGGACATCTGTAAAGTTATTCGGTCACAAATGTCAAATTGAAATCCACTTATGAGTTATGAGTTGTGAAGGGTGCCCATTATTTTGTACTACTTCCCATGATATGGAATTATGGATAATGGCAAGTTGGCAACCACCTTGACATGTGCAAAATTAATCAAGTCTCTGGAGCATAGTTGTATGAAGAGGTATTCTTTATTTATTAATGGCATTTTTTGGAAGAGATCTGGAACTTTCTTTGCATGACTAAGTATTCTGCCTACTTTCTAGGTGCAAAAACAGCAGTTGATCTGTTGCAAGTTGAAGGGGCTAGAAGGGCTAGGGGCAGACCAAAAAGGATATGGGTTGAAGTAGTAAGAAATTATTTAAGCAATCAAATTATAAATGGATATGGCACTAAACAGAATGGAATGGTGAAACGGGATTCATGTAGCCAACCTCATATAGTTGGGATAATGTGTAGATGATCATGATGATGATGTTCACTAGCCAATGTTGGAAATAAGCCTCTGCATCTGACATTGAGGTCTGAAAGTTTTCTAGCATTGGAAGCATCGGTGTTGTACAAGCCAGTGTCTTCCATTTGAACCCTCTGTGCCTTTCTGCTTTTATAACTGAATCTTTACATGTACAAGTTTAAATTTTTAACAGGAAATAACCTTCAGCATCTGGCATTGAGATTCAAAAGTTTTACTACCATCTAAAGTACCAGTATTTCATGAGCCAGTGACTACCATATGAACTTTCTGTGCTTTTCTTCTTTTTTAACTAGATCATTACATAAGGAGTAAGTTTAACAGGATTCCAGTTGTGAGCTATTCTTTGTGCTCTGGTGACTACCATATGAACAGCCTATGGCTTGAGACTTGACTGATGCCTAATTAAGGAGATTTAGTTCATAACTGATTTTTTGTAACAGGGTTAGGGATGTGGTTCTTTGTCATATTACCCTAGGCAGATACTCTAGTTGGGTGAGGACAAGGGGGAACCAATTGAATTCCCCCAATTAAGGGGCCATCTCGTCAAAGCACCTTTCCATCATTTTATTGCAATGAAAATGAGTATATATGCAGGGGATGCCTTCATTGTTCCCAGGTTTGTTGTTCTCTTTATGTCCATCAGTTTCATGATTATAAATTTTGTCATGTCTGATGCTGTGGACTTGTGGTTGTTTTGTGGCTTTCAAAGGTGAAATGGGAAACTTTGTATAGAGGTGAGACTCGAGAGAGCCATGAAATAGCAGAGTAAAACCATCTTTAGTCATAATCTAATCATCAATTAAGAAAAATATTATATGAGTTCTTGAAATACCGGTTTGAAATTCCTCTAAGCCGTCTCCAACTTGTCAGAGATTCTAGATTGTATTCTAAATTTGTCCGTAAGGCAGTGGTCTTTTTTAATTCTGTTAATGCACTTCATTTACTGTGCACTTTATGTTGATAGTAGCTAGTTATGTGCACAAACTTAGAGAGGTAAATTCCCTCTGTGGGAAAGGGTGTGGGGCTGTGATCTGTGAATGTCTTATACTAAATGGGTTCTTCTATCATGAGCTTGGTTGATACCCAAGGTGAGCAGTTCAACGTATATGGGGCTGTTCTTTGTGGATTTCTCATAAGCTTTGTCCTTCTTCAGTTGGGGGTGGTATGAGTTTTTGACATTGGGAATTCTTACTATCTAAAATACAAAAATACATAAAAAATTAGAAAATTCCAGTTTTCAGGCCTCTGCAATAAGTTGTGTTCCTGACTTTTTTTTTGTGTAATATTGTTTGTAAAATAGTACCTCAAATTATTTGTAGCACTAAGCATGTTTGACTAAAATGGTTTGGTCATGTGCATAGAAGACCACCAATTGCTCCATTTAGAAGAAGTGATTTATTACAACATTGAAGGGGTTAGAAGAGCTAGGAGTAGACCAAAAAAATATGGGTAAAAGTAGTAAAAAATGATTTGTTTAACAGTGGGTATGGCCTTAATTAGAACGGATTGATGAAACAGGATTTACGTAGTCAATCCCATATGGTTGGGATAAGATATGGATGGATGATAATGATGATGACTAAGCACAAGGTTTTAAAGTGCACCAGACAGGGAACCGTTATGGGGCCTGGTTCCCAGATCGAATGGTCCAACTGCCCGGTCTGAATGGATGACCCACTCTGATAAAAAAATAAAAAAATTAAAAAAACGAAAAAAGGCCAAAAACCATTGCCCGGTTCGACGGTTTGACCACCTAGGTTAGCGATTTGCAGACCAAATCAATGGTTTTTGACAAAAGTGGTTTTGGGGTGAAACGGAACCGGTCAGGTGATCAATTCTTGGTTATTCCAGTCCAGTCCGGTTTTGAAAACACTGACTAAGCATGTTGGACCTTAGTTTTTCAAATCTGTTATTTAGTGGCTTCTATGATTTCTTGTTTAGGCCAGTTTATATGGAAGGACAATCGGAAAATCTCCCAATACCCCATTTGCTTTCTAAATAAGCTTTTTCATAATGGATTAGTTCTAAACTTCTAATGGTGTCCTTGTTAACTTGTTCCATGAGGCATGGACATAGTTGACTTAATGATTTTAAAAGGTGCCGAGGCAAGGTGGTAAAGTGGAGCCGAACTGCCTTGCCTTAATGCTTTGTGCATGTGCTACAGACTACAGTGCACTATGGATATGTATATGCTAAGGCCTAAGGGCACATTCTCTGTATGTGTGACCTTCACCAAAATCAAAGGCAAGTATCCGCTGTGATAAGACACCCGTAATAGAGTAAATGGAAGTGTGCATCATGAGTGCAGCAGATCGTGACTCCTCTACATAATTCATCATCTAATTTAGTAAAAAAAAAATTGTTCACATAATCAGTTGGAAAGAACTATACCACCACCGCAACTAACTAATTAACAGATCGAACGCTTTCTAAGACCTTGCAGGAGGATCCCTCCATGTTTAGCATTCATTGTTTCAAAATTTTAAACCATAAATGATGGAGAAATGGTTGTGCAAGTCACCACCAACTGTAGCATTTAAAAAGGACACGCTTGAAAGACAGTATATTCACTGCAGAACGAAGACGTTATTAGTTGTCATTACAGAATTTCCATCCAAGTAACCATTTAGTCCCTCTTTTACCTTTTCTCTTACAACTATATCATATTATTGATAACAGAATTTTGTAAGCTCATTCTAATCACTTGGGTGGTATTTGATTTGACAGAAGGTTTGTTTATGGTGAAGACTACTTGTTTTGTGACTTTTGCCCCTGGTTTGCCTTGTAAAAAGAACGAGAATGGATGGTTTTTCTTCTGCAACACGATTAATAAAGGAAGATTCTGAAATTGGACTTTTAAATCCATCATGATCATAACAAAAGATACTTGTATTAGTGATATTATAGTAGCAGTTCCACTTCCACATCTACCACAACAGAAACGAAACGTTTGGGAATAGAGATCCAAGAAATTAGATCGCGAACGACTTCAGTGAAATGGTTTGAACGTCCTTTGGTCGGCCGCATTCATGTCAGCCATTCTTGAATTGGATGTGTCAATGATGTTCAGTACCAACTACCAAGGATTCTTGTAATTTACAACATTTCCATGTCCAGTCCCTCTTATATCTATTCACTTACTACGATATTATACTTGTTGAGTGATTCGTGCATTTGCACATTGAAGAGAGAGAGAGAGAACAAAACGGATATCCCAAACTCTTTTATAATACACAAATTCGTTCCTTATTTTCTCAATTATATTATACAACATAAAAGAGAAATTTACTACAACTCTTCCAACGATCTAGCTACAGAGGAATGAAACGAATAAAGAGTTGGCTACCTGGCTTCTCACTACAGCTGCAAAACAAAGAAAACTGGTTCTACTCAAAATGATACGAAGGGATACCTTCGGAGGATATCAGATCCATTCCTTAGGATTGATGCATGCATCTAACAATTTCCATTCTTCAGTCCCCTCTTCCGGTTTCTGCAAATAAATAGGGAGGGCTTTTTATTAGTACACATATTTGACATAAAACAAACATGAAGCTATAGATAGAGAAAATCTTTACATGGTCATATTCCCATCGTGCAGTAAGTGGGAGAGAAACAAGAATGCTCTCAATTCTGCCTCCCGTCTTCAGTCCAAATGTGGTTCCACGGTCATATACCTTCAAATTCAAACAAACAAATGTTAGGATTACCTATTTAAGGAACATTGAACGTTCTATCTGTTGCTGATCAAACCAAAAATGAATGTTCTATCTGTTTCAATATCAGGAGATTGTCTTCCTACCAAGTTGAACTCTACATAGCGTCCCCTTCGTAGTTGCTGCCATGCCTTGTGTTGTTCTGTAAATGGTGTATCCTTTCTTCGTTCTATAATTGGTATATATGCTGGAATTACAGAGTTTGCACATTCTGCAAAACAATAAAATGTGTAAAAAGTATGAAGTGGAAGGTCTAAAGCTTTAAGGATAAAGAAAAAAAATATTAGCATGATGAGATTAAACCAAATACAGCTTACAAGCTCATCAACTAACCAGTAGCAAAGGAAAGAAGCATCTCTTGGTTATAGTCATTAAGATCATCAAAAAATATTCCTCCAAGTCCACGCCTTTCACCTCGGTGCTACATGCATTACCACCAAAATAAGTAAAAGTTTGGCAGGAAAACAACATTTATAAGATTTGACAGTTATTTGTAGAAATGGCAACCTCTCCAATGGTATACATCCTAAGTTGTCTAATATGTATCCCAATTATTTCTCCAACATTCAACCAAGAGAAAAGATAAAACGCTTCTTGGAAAAGACTCAAAGGATTTTGTGAAAGCCTATTATGTCCTTTTAACAACTTAGGCTGCATATATAGTAGCTCGATCCATTGAATTATAACCAAATAATTATCCATTGAGGAAATGACTAATCAATTTATAAGTGCATTATCACAAATATAGATCTACAATGACAAGAAATTGGGCGGAATGGACACCTTAATAAAGAAATAATCATCACACCATTTCTTGAACCTGGGGTAGAAAGTGGGATCAAACTTATCACAAGCACTTTTTTGAACCTACAAGATAAAAAAAGCTCAAGTCAGTCTAATAAGCTTATTCCAATAACAAGGCAGTATCTGTGCCATACCAAAAGGACCCATGCTCATTGCTAAAATCAGCAACTTCTTAAGGATAAAATTTTTTTTCTCTTAGGAGTCATTTGATAACAGCTGAAGTGGCTAAACTGAATGACTTACTACTTTATCTTATAGCAAATAAAGTTATTAAGCAGGTTGTAAAGTCCTTTTTTTGGTAAGTTGTATGATGTTTAATGGGTGAAGCTGAAGTTGGATTAATTAGTAAACCCTCAAATATTCTATTATACAATCATTTTACCTACTCAAATACAAAGAAAAAAAAAGTCATTCAGACTCAGTTCAGCCATTTCAGCTGTTGTCAAATGGCCCCTCAGAATCCATTTTACCAGCAGAAGAGTCAATACTACCGAAAGCTCCATCTGCATTTTCTCCACTTTACACAAATTTGTACAATGCAAGGTCCTTTAGAATATAATTTCCCAGTTAAGCTGTTACTTTTTAAAAAAAAAAAAAAAGTTAATCTTTTACTTAAAATGCTGTAAAGCTTTTGGAGGCTTAGGCTCCATAAGAAATTTTTTCCATTTTAAGATCTAAATTCCATTTACTATGAAAATATAAAAGTTTTCATATCAAACAATGTTTCATGAAAAAAAAGCTAATTAGAATAGGCCAGAAAAACAGTTGTCTGTTCCCAAGGCATATACCGTGTGAAAGTGCTTGACATCATCCTCAAAAATGTACGAAGGAGTCAAATCAGTGCCACCACCAAACCACCACTGTCGAGGTGCTCCAGGAACATCTGCATAATGAATGTATTCATGGATACAAAATAAGTGAAAGAAAGGATAAATTCAGAAAAGAGATTCCAGAACAAAAATCAAAATAAGATAAACATAATTGTGCAAGAAATTTGTGAAGAACAGATTCAAGAGAGATTTCTGAGGCAAAAGATTTCAGAGTGGTATGTAAAGAAGCTTTGCCATTTTTATAAAAGGGTAACCCAGTGGCACAAAGCTCCACCAATGCAGAGTCTAGGGAGAGACAGATGTACGCAGTCTTACCCCCTAGACATACAGAGAGGGTGTTTCCAAGATTTGAACCCTGGTCACCAAGGTCGCAATGGAGCAATCCAACCGTTGTGCCAAGGCCCACCCTCAGTTTTGCCATTTTTATGTGAGAAAAAAGAAGGTTAGCAATTGAGGACTCTTTAGAGGAGTTCATTCTAGCTGGTTTTAATTTGGTGCATTCATTAAATCAAGGAGCTCTGCACAGACTCCATAAATAGCAACGCTTATTTATTTATGGATTTTTAAATGTTGACAACTGAAAAGAGACAAAGAAAGAGAAGAGAAAGTCATAATGTTAAAATTGGTTTTACCCAACTCTTATTAGAATCAAGTGCATCATTTACACAGGTTAAACCCTAAAACCAAGATCTATTTTATCTGAAAAATGTATGGGTATGGTACAGCAAGGTCACTGATTTTTCATTTGCCTAGTCCACTTGCTCTCTTCAAAATTCTGTTTTTTTTTTAACTTCCAGATCTGTAATTGGTCTTGAGAATCCTCAACTCTCTAATCCAGAAGATGTTGAGTGATGCTTGTGATATTCAGGTATCAAGGTATCTTTCCACTATTGGAAATATCAAATACCAGTGAAAGTGAAGACCCCATTATAATGATATGGATAAAAACATTCATTGTTGGGGCAATAATAACAATTCTAGTTGGGGTAATGTTGATATTTATTTGGTGTCAAGAACATTTGGAGTTTCATTTTTTTTATCAGTTTTCAGAGTTTCATATCTGACTTTTTTAGTTAGGGACAATAATCAGATTTTTGAGATTGACAACAATTTTTCTTTTCAGAGTGAATTAGAAAATTATTTTTCTAGATATTCTATGGTTTACAAAGATCACCTAGATTCCTATCTCTATTTAATAAAATACCATTCATTCATAAAAACAAAAAACAAAAAACAAAATCACCTAGATATTCATGTAACCAAAGTTTTATCTGGGATGAAACTCAGTTTGGTGGGGGCAGGACCTACAAAAAATTTCAAAAAGGTGTAAAAAAGGTGCGAAGAAAGTTGGGCCGGTTGTAGAAGATGGAGGTGGGGCTGGATCTCAGATTCTTGATAGTTCCGAACCTCAGGAGGGTGGGTTCAGCAAGGTGAGGTGATTAATGCCACAGGGTCCATCTCGTGTAATGAAGCATTGATTCCGATGTCTGAAAAAAGGCGGAAAGGGAGCTTTGAGAAATGAGGAAATTGTTGATAGAGCTTTGAGAAATGAGGAAATTGTTGATAGAGATGCAAGATTGGCAAGAAGCTTGGATTCTTATTTTTGGGGAGGGGAGGGGTTTGCTAGGAAAGCCTTTGAGGAGTTTGAGAGAAAGAGGGAAGAAGAGAGATTAAAGAAAGTGGTCTGCTCTGATACAATCTCCTTCCCCTATTGGACCTGAAAACATTGCAGTTACATTCCCATTCTCATCTCTTATCATTCCCCCTATCCTAGAAGGACCTGGACTTCCTACACTACTCCCATCAAGGTTCAATTTCATCCATCCCCTTACTGTGGAACCCTTTTAACCATACCTAATCAGTCAGTTTCGACTTTGGACAAATAATTTAGGTACATGGAATGGATGCTAAGCATAATAGTTTCACTTTTTTCTTTTTCCCCTCTTTTATTTCATATATATCAGTTACCAACTATGCTGCATTGGCAGTATCCATCAGAACCATATGCATGAAATAATATAATTGAAAGTGAGGTACCTTTTGGAGCATCAGTCTCAAAGTATCGATAGTTAAAATGCAATGTTGGTGCAAAAGGATTCTTTGGATGTAAAACCTAGAAAACGAGAAAATAGATAATTAAATATTGAAAAAAAATCAATGACAAACCAGATAGCTGGAATATATTGGCTACAATTACAGTACAAAATGCTGTGAGTTTCATGATATCATTCTTGATCAGACTTTTGCAATGCTCATCCAATGATCAAAGGTGGGAGGAATAATATGCAGCATTTGAACTTTTACAAATGAAAGTTTTATAGAAAACACTATTGTGTTGATAAAATATCAAAGCTCATTTCTAATATACCCAATAGTACACAGTACACACAAAGAAAAATGTAATACCCCATGTAGTTTCCGCACTATCATCAAGTTCTGAATTTGAATGTAAAAATATAATACCATTTGAACTTTTATATCACTACAAATTTTCAGTGCAATAAGATTAGATGTATGTAATAGTAACTGCATCAAGTTTTGAATTTGAACCCATAGCCTTCAATTTCATCATTTTGGATATAAAATATAAGACCCCAGATAGAGAAACATAAATTTGCAATGCCAGAATAATGGAATTGTTACCTGAAGATAATAGGGTGTCTGACAAGTGACATGGCTAGATTTCAGGAAATGGAGTTTCCATGTTGTATGACTGGAAATGAACCATCCAACAGGGTCAAATCCCTTAAACCTCCCTTGAGTTTTCTGAAAAGGCCTTAAACCTCACCTGAACTTTGGCCTGCCCTTAAACCTCCCCCAATTTTTGGGGATAGAGGGACTTATAGACCCCTTTCAGTTACTTCAATGTTAGAAATCTAACAGGAACCGCTGATGTCGTGGTTTTAAACATATTGAAATGCCAATTTTTCCGTTGTTAAAAATACATAAATGTTTGATGACTGAAAAACCCTTAAGCTGAAAAAAAAAACCTTTAACCTTTAACCAAAAATATAAAATACCCTTAAACCTTCTATTTACCTTTTTGTTTCACATTCTCAGGTTTGGATTCTAAACTTGTGGCTTTTTGAGGGGAGAAGGGAGGTGTGATTAAAAAAAATCCAATAAAGGGTTTGTTTATGTGATTAAAAAAAAAGTGAAATACTAAAACATATTTTACTCGTATTAGCAATTTCAAGGGTAAAGTTGGAATTAGGAAAATCCAATAACTTGATTGCAGGAGTTACCATAGGCATAATGGACACTTAACGTCTCTATGCACTTAAAAGTAACAGAAGGGCCTTTTCAGAAATGGATAGAGACATGGATACAGGTATGGTGTCCAATGTAATCTGCTTATATCATCATGCTTTTATATCTAATCTTTGAAGCTAAATGTCATTTCTCAAGACTTATGTCTTACAAAATTTAATTAAATTTTTAATATGTACAGATTGTTTAATAGTATGATTTGTTAAAACATGGCATTTACATATTTTAGAAGTGTAAAAACTATGAAGTACATCTAAAAGTGTCTATAAAGTATCTGGTAAGTATCTTATCCAACACTAGTGCACTGGGAATGTACAGGTACCAGGTAACATAGAAAGCAGGTGAGTTGAAATTAATCATTTTCAGGATAGCATGAATAAAGTAACCAGTTGAAGTGTTAATAAGAAAATGACATGCGTAAACATGAAACCCACTCCTATATGCATTTTTAGATCCACAAGTGAATATTAATCTACTGCTGTGCCTGATTTAGATAAGTAGCAAATAGAAAATTTAATCCAACTTAACTCCATAAAAGCCCAAGAATGCTGTTCAAAACTAGAAAATCCCAAATATAGGAGCAAAGATAATAAAATATAAGACAACTATCTATAATCGAGTTTGCATTAGCATAGCCAATTTTTCAAAATTTTCAGTTATTAAAAATTTAATCTTCCCATTGAATCCTTCTATGCAATTTAAGCAAATTCAAGAAATAATTAACAGAAACATTAGCACTCCCAAATCCATAGGAAAGAAAGAAAAACGAATTGAACTTTGATGGCACAATTATCAAAAGCAATAAACAAAATGTAGGTTGGGTATACAATTAATTTGGCAATTTAATTAGGGAATCACATACCGAGCTGATTCCGGCAGCAAAAAACGGCACCGGCCCCGGCTTTTCGGCTGAATTCTCACCCCTGGCAGCTCTGTAAGCTTCTGGGGGCATAACCCCATACACAACCGACACATTAACGCCAGCCTTCTCAAAAACGGCCCCATCTTGCAAGACTCTGCTGATGCCGCCACCACCCCCAGGCCTCGACCAAACGTCCTCCTTGAACTTGGCACCCCCGTCGGCGGCCTCTAACGCTGCACAGACGCTATCCTGCACATCCCTGATCATCTTCTCGAACCGAGCCCTAACCGAAGAAGCCGGAGAGCTCGAAGACGAGGGGTCATCGGACTCCCGGAGAAATGTATCCGGCTTTTCATTCTCCGGGATCTCCTTTTCGATCGCCACCGCCGATCGGACTTGCAAGCTGGTCTGTCTGTGGGTCAAAATGTGTGTTTTAGGAGATATGGTTCTTGGGAAGAAACACAAAGTAGAATTCTTCAGGTTTGAAGTAGAAGAAGAAGAAGTGACAGAGGAGGGAGGTGAGAAGAGAGAGGAGGATGTCGAGAGAAGGGCAGTCGGCATTGGTGGAGATGGTGGTGGTGTTCACCAAAACGACTCACGTTTAGCGGGATGTGATTAGTAAATGCGGATGAGATGAAACGGAGAAAGCTGAAAGCGAGAGGATTTAACAGAGACGGAGACAGAAGATTATTTTAATTTTGTTGAAATTTTTAGATAGGGTTTCGGTGGGCCGATAATTCCACCAGCGGCCCCTGGTAACTGGTAAGCAGTGAGCAGAGTCAGAGAGTGGAAGACTCAAGGAAGAAGACTGGTTCTTGGTTCTTGCCTCCTTTGATGATCTTGGATAAGAAAATCTGATCAATGATCACCCTGCTGGGATTGGAGTTCAGAATCTTCAAATCTGCAACAAGAAAACGCTCCCAACACTGTTCCAATATGCCACTACAGCCGTGCATTAGGAACATCTTCCCACGAATGGCATGGAAGCCAATGTGCGGCTACAGTGGCTTATTGGGACAGTGTTGGGAGTGAGAGGTTGGTAGCAGATCCCTACCCGCTGAATTGTAGAGGGGGCTTCGTCATCGTCGTGTTGGGACTTCAAATCGTACACTGCTATACACAGGACCAATCATGACACACCACGTCAGATCTGCACATATGGGCCCTAGATACCGAGCTTATCATGTGGGGCCCAGTATGCTCGGTAATGGTATGCGAAACTATAGAATTCAACGTGGAGTGGGTGTAGGTGTAGGGGACGGGCTATCTACTTGCCTGGCAATAATAATAATAATCCTAATTCCGTTTGTGACAAGTTAAGCTTGGTCTATCTTGTTAAATTATTATCTTATGACTTTAAGACTTTCAGTTTTTGGCCGTTGGATCAAGACTGAATCACATTGGATCTGATGAAAAAATAAGTGTAATAAAATGAAAATAAATTTATATTTTATAAGATTTTTTTAACTGTTTATTTTATAGCAAAATCTATTGTATATTTGTATAGAAATTGCACCACGTACTACGTGGCACGTAGTCTATATTATTAACATCGCTAATAGGAGTTCAAATCTGCCCCCCACCAGATTGCCCCCAACAACGTTCCACAACACATCCCCGCCGTGTATTGTGAATATCTTTCGATGATAACAGATCATCACTTCTGGTATCATCGTCAGGAGATGTTCCTAATACATGGCTTGAATGTGCTGTGGGACGTTTTGAGGGGCAGATTTGCTCTCTGCTAATAGACTTGTTCATAGGTCAAGCTTTGGTCCTGACTTATACTGTATTGGATTCGGGTTTTGGCTTGAGTCCATTCAAATTTTGGCAAAAATCAAACCCAAATCCGGCTCATGGACAAATTCTAATCACCAATTCCTTGGCATTTTGTAGTTTTTTAATTAAAAAAAATTAAAAAAAATACAGAACTATTTAAATTTGGATAATTTATGATAGGTGTTGATGTGGGGTGATCCAACACAGCCCATTCGAGACTGGGAGGCCCAGCCCATGACTGTTGGATCCAAGAACGAGATCTACTATAGCAAAGGTTACTCTGCTCCCCTCATACGGAGCCAATTGCGAAGTGCCCGCACGTCCCCGTATAGCTCTCTGATTGCCCTCGTACAACACCCATCCCAGGCGTTCATCTCCACCTACCTCCAGGCAACTCAAGTATAAATAGGGGTGCCCCCCTCCAACCAAAGGGGAGGAATACAATTTGCATCTGGATCTAGAACTGGTCTCAAAAGCTATATTTTAGTTCCCCTCTTCATACCCCGTACTAACTTGACCATTGGAGACTCTATCTCGGGTTCTCACCCAAGGCCTCTGACGTAATCTGTCTTGCAGCACCTCGGCCACCTACCTTCGACTTATACAGTGTTCAGAGCCCTCTTTGCCTCGGCCGACATACCTTGGCCTCAGCAGCAAGTTCTCCGAACCCTCGAAGCATTCGGGGTCTAGGGGTGAAATTACTTTGTTGTCCTCGGCCAATCTGAGCACCAACAGTTGGCGCCGTCTGTGGGAAACGTCGTTAAGACGTTCCCTAAAAGAACTTTAACAGGCTAACAAGTCCCCAAGCTCCGACCAACCAACATGGTATGAAGAACAAGAAATACACAAAATCGTGTCACCAATGAACAGTTCTAGGCCGTGCTTGACCGCCTAGAGTACTTGACAAAGCGAGTCGAGCAGAACTACCCCCAGGCAGGAGGTCGCCCCCAGGGTGATCGCCCCACCGGGGAGTCAACGCAGCCGGGCCGACATGGGTCCACTAGCCAAGTGGTCCCCAGCCTCGGCCACGCACATCGGACCGAGCCCTCAAAGTCTGGTAGCAGTCGTCCAACTAACCCGCTCTCCCGGACCACCAGGCCTCCCAGCCGAAGGGCGGACAACTCCAAACCTCCTAGCTGAAAGGAGAAGGAACCAAAACGATCGAAGGATAGCTGTCAGCCCTCCGAGTAGCATCGCCTACACCGAAGGGCCAATCATAGGAACCAAAACGAAAGCGGACGCCACGATCACCCCAACGCCCATTCCAGGGCCAAGGGCCGACATCGAGCTTCTTCCCCTCACGTCTCAGACCTCCGAGATGTACTGAACGACCGCTGCGCTAAGCGCAAAGAACGCAGTCTCAACTCCGAGCACTCCGGAGTCCACGCCGAGCACCATCGTGTCCATGAAGACCGAGATGGCGCATAGGCCATGCCCGACCCATGTTCGCCGAACTCTGAGCCAAGTTCGGTGCTGTCAAAGCTAAGCTCCGACAGGTTAAGGAAGGTTAAACTAACACCTCGGTCAGACAAAGCAACTGCCTAGGGAGAATGGATGTCTTCTCCCCTCACATCATCGCCGAGCCTCTACCCCCAAACTTCAAAGCTCCTACCTTGGAGATGTACAACGGGAACACTAACCCAGACGACCACCTGGAGAGCTTCGGGGTGCTCATGATCCTGTATGGATATTTAGACGCCTTGACATGCTGGACTTTCCAGGCACCCTTCAAGGGAGCCGCTCGGCGGTGGTTCTTAAGCCTCCCACCTCGATCCATCAACTCGTGGGAGCAGTTTTCCAGCATGTTCCTCACACGCTTCATCAGCAGCCGGCGCCCCCAAAAAAGCGTTGTCTCACTGATGACTGTCAAGCAGAAGCGATGAGAGAGTCTACGGTCATACATCGACCACTTCAAGAAAGAACTCGAGGTATGCGACCTCAACCCCCTGGTCTCCATGCATGTTGCCATCAGCAAGCTCTTCCCCGGCTCGGCCCTCAAATGCTCTGTTGCCAAAAGTCAGCCAAAGATGAAGCTGGAGTTCTTAGAAAGGGCCCAGAAATATATTGTTGTCCAAAAGGCTTCGGCTATAGATGCCCATGAGAGAAACACAGAGCACCGAGATAGAGCCCCCGAGAAGAAGAGGAAGAATGGAGACCAGGGCTGCAACAACAACAACAACAACAAAAAGCCATCGGCCTTGGCTTACAATTAGTACACGCCACTCAACTCCGCCCGCACACAGATTCTGATGCAGATCATGCAAGAGAAATTTATGAAGTGGCTTGAAAAGTTGAAGAATAACTTCTGCCAGGGGAACCCCAAAAAATATAGCAAGTTCCACCGAGGTACCGGCCACGACACCGAGGACTGTTACAATCTCAAAAACGAGATAGAGTGCCTCATTCATCGGGGCCACCCCAAGCAATACGTCGGAGGCGAGGCTGACGCCTCGTCCTCTCAGCAGTAGTAGCACCAACAAGCAGCAGCCGTCATTGACGTCATAGTGGGAGGCACGGCCTCGGGTGGAGCCTCGACCTCGGCTCGCAAAGCCTACATCAGGCAGCTGAACATCCAGGGGCCGGCCCCCAAGAAGCAGAAGCAAGAACCCTCTCCTTCACAGCGAGGATCTGAAGGGGGTAGCAGTCCCCCATGATGACGCATTGGTGGTTTTGGTTGTCATTGCAAACTTTGTAGTCAAAAGGATCCTTGTTGACAGTGGCTCCTTAGTCGTAATCCTTTTCTACGAAGCTTTTGAAAAGATGAAGATAGCTCTGGAGCGCCTTCAATCAGTAGATGCCCCACTAGTCGGTTTCTCCGGCAGCATCGTCCAACCAGAGGGTAAGATTTCCCTACCAATCACAGTAGGGACGGAGCCCCAGGAGGTGACAAGGATGACAGAGTTCCTAGTCGTGAAGAATGGCTCACCCTACAACGCCATCATGGGGAGACCAACTCTTCACACACTCCGGGCAAATATCTCCTCCTACCACCTCTCTTTGAAGTTCCCCACCAAGCACGATGTCGGAGTTGTTTGTGGGGACCAGCATGCCGCCGTCAGTGCTATGTGGTAGTGTTGAAGGGCAAGAATAAAGAAGCTCTGCCACTAGAGAGTCTCGATCTCAGGGAGGAGCCAGCGAGCCAAGGCCAGTCGGTCGAGGACTTCGTGCTATGTGGCAGTGTTGAAGGGCAAGAATAAAGAAGCTCTGCCACTAGAGGGTCTCGACCTCAGGGAGGAGACAGCGAGCCGAGGCCAGCCGGTCGAGGACTTCGTCTTGTCCCCCTAGATGAGGATGAACCCGACAAGGCAGTCCGCGTTGGGTCCAACCTTCCCCGCGAGAGCCTATCCAAACTGCTAAGTTTCCTCAGACTCAATGCCAATGTCTTTGCTTGGTCCGCCGCTAACATGCCTGGAATTGACCCCTCGATCATTATACACAAGCTGAGCGTGGACCGAGCTCTAGACCAGTTCAGCAAAAGAATAGGAACTTTGCGCCGAAGCGTTGACAGGCCATAAAGGAGGAAGTTGAAAAGTTACTTGACGTTGGCTTCATCCGAGAGGTACACTACCCTAACTGGTTGTCAAATGTGGTTATGGTAAAGAGAGCTAACGAGAAATGGCGGATCTGTATTGATTTCACAAACCTTAACCGAGCCTGCCCCCAGGACAGTTTTCCTTTGCCGAGGATAGACCACCTTGTTGACGCCACTATAGGGTACGAGCTACTTAGCTTCATGGATGCCTTCTACGGATACAATTAGATAAAGATGCAACCAAATGATGAAGATAAGACCTCATTCATCACTGAACATGACACATACTGCTACCGTGTGATGCCCTTCGGCCTTAAGAATGCTAGGGCCACCTACTAGTGCCTTGTCAACAAGGTGTTCGAAGAACAAATGGGGAGGAACGTCGAAGCCTATGTGAATAACATGGTAGTGAAGAGGTTGAAAGCCGAGACGCACGTCTCGAACCGAGTCGAGACCTTCGACACCTTGCGGAAGTACAACATGAAGCTCAACCTCATCAAGTGTGCCTTCGGCGTTACATCAAGCAAATTCCTAGGTTTCATCGTCACTCAGAGAGGCATTGAGGCTAATCCTGAGAAGATATAGGCCATACTAGACATGGTACCACCGCAGATGGTGAAGGAGATCCAAAAACTCACCGGCTGAATAGCAACCCTCAATCGCTTCATGTCAAAGTCAGACGACCGCTGCCTACCCTTCTTCCGTGCCATCAAGAAGCTGAAAGAGATCCAGTGGATGGAGGAGTGCCAACGCGCCTTTAACGAGCTCAAGGCATACCTTACTTCGTCTCCCCTCCTCGCTCGGCTGGCAGAAGGGGAAACCCTATACCTGTACCTATCGACCGGAGATAAAAGCAGCCAGTTCAGTTCTCATCAAGGAAGATGGTGTGCAGAAGCCAGTTTACTATAACAGCACAGTCCTCTGCGACACCGAAACCAGATACCCTGAGGTAGAGAAGTTGGCTTTTGCCCTTGTGGTTTCAGCGAGGAAGCTTAGGCCATACTTCTAGGCCCACACTGTAGTGGTCCTAACAAACCAGCCCCTCAAGGCTATCCTCGCCAAACCCGTGACCTCGGGACACCTAACAAAGTGGGCCATCGAATTATTTGAGTTTGATATCTGGTACCAGCCGAGGCCCGCGATCAAAGCACAAGCCATGGAAAATTTCATAGTAGAATGCACCTTTAGGCGAGCCCTTCGCCAGCCCTCAAAAATTGCTGAAGGTGATCTTATGGACGATGAGGCTCAACCCCGATTGAAGCTTTTTGTTGATGACTCCTCCAATGCTAAAGGAAGCGGAGCGGGGCTCATCCTCCTCACCCTAGATGATGTTGCCCTAGAGTATGCACTAAGGTTCGACTTTCTAGCATCGAACAACGAAGCCGTGTACGAGGCCCTCCTCACTGGTCTGCAGCTTGATAAGGACCTCGACTCCTCATACGCTTAGGTCTTTAGTGACTCTCAACTGCTGGTGAATCAGGTGAACGACGAGTACGAGGCCAAGGAACAAAGTATGTCTAAGTACCTCGTCGAAGTCCAAGATTTAGCCCGCTACTTCCAACGCTTCTCCCTGCAACGAGTTCTGCAAGCCGAGAACGTACAAGTCAACGCCCTCTCCAAGTTGGCAAGTACTTTGAGTGGATCCCCCGGTTGGACCGTGCACATCGAGAAGCTGTTTCGGCCCTCCATTGAAGAAGCCCAAGTACTCCCAATAGAGGCCAAACTTTCATGGATGGATCCCATCGTCAACTTCCTAACAATTGGACGGCTGCCCAAAGACAGAAATGAGATAAAACAACTCAGACGATAGGCAACCCACTACACCCTACTAGAGGGAAAACTGTACCGAAGATCCTTCACCTTGCCTTACCACCAATGCATTCGTCCAGAGGAGGGCAGTTATGTGCTACGAGAAATTCACGAAGGCATCTGGGTAATCATCTCGATGGGAGAGCCCTAGCCCAAAAAGCCCTAAGGCAGGGCTACTTCTGGCCTACCCTCCACAAGGACGCAACCAGATTGATGCGAAAGTGTGACCCATGCTAGAGGCACGCCAACTTATGCCACCAACCGGCCATCACTCTCTCATCCCTCAGCAGCCCATGGCCCTTCGCCAAATGGGGCATGGACCTCCTTGGCTCCTTTCCTCAGGCCAAGTGGGGCAGAAAGTACCTCGTTGTTGCAGTAGATTACTTCACTAAGTGGGTGGAAGTTGAGCCTTTGGTCGCCATCATGGCGCGAGTCATCCAAAATTTCTCTTGGAAAAACACCATCTGCCGCTTCGACCTACCCTACATGTTGGTCACTGACAACGGGAAGCAATTTGATGATGTCAAGTTTCGAGAGTGGTGCGCCTCCCTCAGCATCAGGCAAGAGTACACCTCGGTAGGCAATCCTCAAATCAATGGCCTAACCAAGGTCACCAACAGGACGATACTGGATGGACTGAAGACCAGGTTGGACCGAGCAAAAGGTCTATGGGCTGACGAACTGAACAGTGTACTCTGGGCTTACCGAACTACGCCTCAGACAGCCACGAGAGAAACTCCCTTCGTCTTAACCTACGACATAGAAGCAGTAATCCCAACAGAGATCGGCCAGGAGACACTCCGAGTTAAGGCATACAATGAAGCTGAGAATGATGAAGCCCTCAAAGCAAACTTAGACCTGCTAGAAGAAGCCCGAGATCAAGCACAAATAAGGGTATCCGCTTACCAGCAGCGAGTGGCCCGCTACTACAACTCCAGGGTAAAAGAAAGGCACTATCAAGAGGGAGACCTTGTCCTTAGAAAAGTCATAGTCCCCGAACCCGGAGTAGGGAAGCTGGGCCCCAATTGGGAAGGCCTACAAAATCAAGCGAGTCATCGGCCCTGTCACTTTTCACTTGGAACACCTAAATGAAAAACCTATACCTCAGACATGGAATTCGGAGAACCTCCGGATGTACTACAAGTGATTGTAACTTCTTTTAAAATTATGGAATGAATGAATCAAAGTTCCTCTTTGGCTCAATGTTCAGTGTGTGTACCTACTAAGTTCTTACAACTCTTCGGCTTTGCGACTAGCAGGGGTCGGCACACTTCGAGGGCTATACCCCCTCGCTGGACCGATGCCAAGACTTAACGAATAAGTAGCGAACACCCTTGCTAAAGATTTAATGCGTCAAAATACACTAGGATGGTTGAGGACCTAGTCTCAGTCTCCCTAGACGAGGAGGAACCCGACAAGGCAATCCGCGTCGGGTCCAACCTTCCCCCCGAGAGCCTATCCGAACTAGTTTCTTCAGACTCAATGCCGATGTCTTTGCTTGGTCCGCTGCTAACATGCCTAGAATTGACCCCTCAATCATTATACACAAGCTGAGCGTGGACCTGAGCTCTAAGCCAGTTCGGCAAAAGAATAGGAACTTTGCACTGGAGCATTGGAAGGCCATAGAGGAGGAAGTTCAAAAGTTACTTAACGCCGGCTTCATCCGAGAGGTACACTACCCTATCTGGTTATCAAATGTTGTTATGGTAAAGAAAGCTAACGGGAAATGGAGGATCTGTATTGATTTCACAAACCTTAACCGAGCCTACCCCAAGGATAGTTTTCCTTTGTCGAGGATAGACCACCTCGTTGACACCACTACAGGGTACGAGCTACTTAGTTTCACAGATGCCTTCTCCGGATACAATCAAATAAAGATGCACCCAGATGATGAAGAGAATACCTCATTCATCACTGAACATGGCACATACTGCTACCGTGTGATGCCCTTCGGCCTTAAGAATGCTAGGGCCACCTACCAACGCCTTGTCGACAAGGTGTTTAAAGAACAGATGGGGAGGAACATCAAAGCCTATGTGGATGACATGGTAGTGAAGAGCTTGAAAGTCAAGACGCACGTCTCAGACCTAGTCAAGACCTTCACACCTTGTGGAAGTACAACATGAAGCTCAACCCCAGCAAGTGTGCCTTCGGCGTTGCATCAGGCAAATTCATAGGTTTTGTCATCACTCAGAGAGGCATTGAGGCTAATCCTGAGAAGATACAGGCCATACTAGACATGGTACCACCACGGATGGTGAAGGAGACCAAAAAACTCACTGACCGAATAGTAGCCCTCAATCGCTTCATGTCAAAGTCAGTCGACCGCTGCCTACCCTTCTTTCGTGCCATCAAGAAGTTGAAAGAGTTCTAGTGAACGGAGGAGTTCTAGTGCATCTTTAACGAGCTCAAGGCATACCTTACTTCACCTCCCTTCCCCGCCCGGCCAGCCGAAGGGGAAACCCTGTACCTGTACCTATACCTCTTGGCCGGAGATAAAGCAGTCAGTTCAGTCCTCATCAAGGAAGATGGCATGCAGAAATCAGTTTACTATGCCAGCAAGGTCCTTTGCGACACCAAAACCAACAAGGTCCTACTAAGTTCTTACAACTCTTTGGCCTCGCAACTGGCAGGGGCGCATGACCCCCTCCGAGGGCTATACCCCCTCGCTAGACCGACGCCAAGACTTAACGAATAAGTAGCGAACAACCTAGGTAAAGACTTAATGCGTCAGAGTACACCAGGACGATCTCAATGCCCCACCTCAATGACAGCTAGCCTCCTGAACTTTCACACTTAGCGCTACTTGCAAAGGAAGTCAGCCTCCTCAGAGCTTTGCGCTTGACCTCGTTGAAACATATGTGCGGGGACATGGGAGCCAGGCGAGCATCGGCTCTGCCTAGGCCCCATGGATCCAGATGAGACTCAGCTCTGTCTCGGCCACCCCCCAATTGGGCAGGCCATCTCGGCCTCGCCAAAGCTAATGCGCGGGTATACGGGAGCCAGGCGAGCCTCGGCTCTGCCTAGGCCCCATGGAGTCAAATGGGCCTCAGCTTTGTCTCGGCCACCTCTCAATGTGGCAGGCCTCTTCAGCCTCGCCGAAGCCAACACTTAGAAGAGTGGGAGACAGGCGAGCCTCAACTCAGCCTCGGCCCCCACCCTCACGTCAACAGGTCATCTTACTATTTACCCAAGTACAAGTATGGGGAAGAGAGTCAGGAGAACCGTACGCTCTACTTCAGCCTCCCCCCATCACAGGCCTCTTCGACCTTGCCTAAGTGAACACTTAGAAGGGCGTCAGGCCCGGCAAGCCCCGACCTAATCGCGCAGGCTTCGCCTCGGCTACCCCTTCGCCATGCTTCGCCTCGGCCACCCCTTCGGCAGCAAAATAATAAGTGCAAAAAATACAAGGAAAAACACAACAAATGCAATAGTTGAGGCAAAAATAAAAAAATGCCACTGATTTTCATTATGCACAAATTTTTTTGGCTTTACAAAATTGTTTCACGACCCCTTAGGCCGAACACATGTACATTGTAAAAAAAAGGAAAGGAGAAGAAGAAAACAGAAAAAGCCCAACTTAAGCCTTACCTCCTGTAGGAGGGGTAAGAACAAAGTTGGTAGCCTCCTCGGGAGAATCAGGGATCACCTTCAATGATTCGGCGTCGAAGTCAAGCAGAGCCACCACGAGCTCTTTCTTAGTATCCTCAATCCCGTCTAGGTAAGCCCTGGAGGCAAGACCGGCTAGTTCCTTGGCCCGTTTCTCTGCCTCCTAGGCCCTCTTCTTGGCCTTAGTGGCCTTCTGCTTGGCCTCTGCATCACGCTTTGTTGCCCCCTCGGCCTTCTTCTCTGCCTCGGTAGCATTTCCCTCGACCTCGAAAAGAAGGCTCCCGATGCGGGCCCTCTCCATCTGCTCCTTGGAGAGGCTCTCCTGCACCTCCTTCAGCTGCGCTTGAGCCTCCATCCGGAACTTCTGTTCATCGATGAGGCTCTGCCAAAATTTATGGTACTTTTCCTCGACAACGGCGACAATCTACTAGAGCTTTCCCTTCTCCTCCTCCAGCTTATCCATCTGGGCCAAGGTCAGCTTCAGCCGGTCCCCGAGACCAACATAGTGAAGGCAGACCTGTAGCAAAGAAATAATCAATATTCCATAGAGAAACAAAAAGGCATGAAGGAAAAAAGGACAAGCATTACCTCGGCCAGGCTTCCCAGGCCCTGGGTGTAGACTCTCTCGGGCGTGCTCCCCAGCATCTGAAAGTGGTCCCTCAAGAGGAGGGCCCCAATCACCAGGGATTGACCAACCCCCTCCTCTCGGATAGAGTCCCCTTCGCGGACGTTCAATTGTGGACAAAAGATCTGGTTGAACCGCTCGACAAGCTCCTCTAAGGGTGTGGGGACAGAAAATGACCCCATTCGTTCTTTGTGGGACCCCCTCAAGACGTCCCTCGTCGAGCCCCAGAACGGGCCACCTTCTGTGGGGGCTGCTGATCCCCTGCGGTTCCCTCAAGCGGCCTCTTCTGTCTCGCCTCGGTCTCCTGGGCGGGCTTCTGTGACCCGATGGTCGGCTTCGGCGGCACGGGCTGCTCCCACCTCGACAGCACCTCCTTGGCGAGCTTCTTCCCCTTGGTAGGGACTTGTAAAGTTGCTCCCTTCGTGGGAGCTGCTAGAGTGGTCCTTTTAGCAGGGACCTGACGAGAGGACCCTCCCTTTGCAGGGGTGGAGACCTTCTCCTTCTGCCCCTTAGAAGGCCTTTGAGGTGTCTTAGCCCGCTCCTTCTACATGGCGCAAGCACGTTCCAACACAGCCTTGCGGGCATCCATCGGCACCTTTGCAAACAAAGAAAACCCATCAGTAATGCAGCAAAAAAAAAAAGGGAAAAGGACGTGTTAAGGGACTGCATGGCCTCTCCTACTGAGGGGAGCAAGACTGAGCCCCACAAAAACTAGTGGGACTTGCTCCTCCACCAAAGGCTGGGCTCAGACTCTCCCCAGGTCGAGCAACCGTGCGAGATCATCGTTCTCCTCACTCATGAGCATAGGGACACTCTTCTCCATAGTTATGCATGGAAGAAGTGTTGTCTATCGGCTTGGTCCTACGGGGTTGGAGGTAGTACATGCCGTTTTCGGAAGAATGCTTCCTCAACACAAACAACGCTCAAAAGAGTCTTGGCATCAGTTCCGCTCCCTGGAACCAAGCCACCACCAGCATGGCCACTATAGTCCAAATGGCATTGGGCACCAGCTGGCTAAGAGTAATTCCCTACGCCCTCAATAGTTTGGAAATTAGCGGATGAAGGGGAAACCGAAGACCGAACTGGAGAAAATGTTGGTAGACATAGATCTCCCTCTCCTTAGGAGTCCATGGCCTTTCGCCCACTTCAGGCACCCTCATACCATAGGACGAGGGAATGAAGTACTACCTTGCTAGAGCTTTGACCTGGTCGCCATCTAGAGAATTCTCGAAACCCATGCAGAGGACATTGGTCTCGGCTACTGCCTGGGCAGCCCTCGTCCTAGGAACAAGGTCTAAGGTTTCCTCCCCCTTGACTGGGTAGGACCCCTCGGCCTTCCTCGATGTCACGGAGGTGGCACTCTCGCAGGGAGGGTCATCGCCTCAACGGCTACCTTCGGCACCTTTAGAGGCCACCTTCCCCCGAAGCACCTCAACCTCCTACCGAAGGGGGGCAAGAACAGAATGACTCAAAGGAGAAATGGGAGGCAGGGTACAGGAAGAGCTCCCCTCCGATTCATTCGGAAGATCATAGCACTTAGGTCTAGAATCTGAAAAAGACATTGTTTAAAGTTACCTAAGAAATGTGGAGGAAGAAAGAGTGAGAATGAAGTGTTGAAGGTTGGAGAGTTTGGAATCTGAATTCACTCGGAGGCAAAGGCGCTTAGAGGAAAATGACAGGAGTGCTGCCGCTAAGGGCCCTATTTAAAGGAGAACAAACAGCCTGGATTTCTCGAGATCCAACGGCCGAGAAGCCATCACCTCCACAACTCAATCATGGTGCGTCACGTGACACTTAGCCTCGAAAGGCGAAACGATGTGTTAGCGATGGCTCAGATCGCCCCTGATCCAACGGATGCGAAACGTCTCCGCACATGTGATCCAGTCGCACCACACCCCTAAACGCCTGTCCTCGGAAGGCGAAACGACGCTCAGGGGGCACCTGCGATCCAGTCGTGCCACACCCCTGAGCGCTCACCCTCGGAAGACTAAACGACGCCCAAAACGAACCAGCGCATCTGCCCAAAGAGATCCGCCGGTCCGAGCGACCCGTTCCCTTGAGCACGCACACTAGTTCAACCAGAAAGTCATCCTACACACGGACTCTCGGGCCTCACGGGCCCCTCAGCATCACAGGTCCTCGACCTAAACATCTCACAACCCCCTAGGTCCTTGGCCCAAATGATGACACTAGAGCATCCGCATTGAGCGCGCCTCCTAAGTCACTTTTCTGAAGCAGCAATGCCATAGTCGCAGCTTTGGCCCAACTTACGAAGACGAACTAGGCAGAGATGTGAAAGAGGATGCCACTACAGGGTACACCTTAGCTACCGGGCCCACTGGCACTCACCATTACTACTCCTATAAGCCAAAGCCGAATTTTTCTCCTCGACCTCAGGAGTGGGGGGCAAGTGATGTGGGGTAATCCAACCCAGTCCCTTCGAGGCTGGGAGACCTAGCCCACGAGCATTAGATCCGAGAATGAGATTCACTATAGCAGGGGTTATTCTGCTCCCCTCGTATGAAGCCAATCGCCGAGCACCCACGCGTCCCCGTAGAGCTATGTGACTACCCTCGTATGGCTAACCACAGGTAGCTAAAGTATAAATAGGGATGCCCCCTCCATGTAAAGGGGAGGAATACAATCTGCACGTGGATCTGGAACTGGTCTCAAAATCAATCCCATCTCTCTCACCCCCTCTCCTACATATTGCAGTGCACGGTGCAGGTATCGTCTTCATCGGAAGAACCAGAAAGATATTGATGTAGCATAGAAAGTGGCTGGMAGTTAGTTGAGCTGGCAGTTATGTTTGTTATATTAGTTGGCATGAGTTGAGCTGGCAGTTATGTTTGTTATATTAGTTGGGATGTTAGACAGTTATATTAGTTGGCA